AAAAAAACCTTACTATAAAATTTACTCAACAAGATGTGCTATCTACCCATACACCCAGATATAGACCACATAAGATCAAGTCACTTCCCCTTAACTGTTATCAAAAGAACATTCTTATCTTCTCAGCTGTGCAACCCCCTCTGTGAACTCTCTTGCTGCTTCCTTGCAGTATTTCAATAAACTCTTTGATGTCTTGGGGAATCCTTTTTCCTGCTGTTATCAGCCTTCCATATGCTGTTTTGCACGGTATTCTGATGGCCCATACAGAGACTCTCTTATTTCCCTCAGCCTCTCTCCCTGGTACTTATGGTTAATCAGCTGAAGGTACCTGGCTAAGGCTGCTCTCCAGCAAGGCCCAAAAAGCCTTTAGGCCATGACCCAGACTGCTTTCTCCCATCAGAAGACAGAGTAAGGAATTTCTTTTGGAACCTTGCAGAAAGCTGTACTTCCCATTTACAACTGACAGGCACAGACTAAAGGAAGTTTTTGTTGATACTCTGAGGCAACATAGAGCTAACTGCAACCTATAATTTTAAGAGGCTACTTTTCTCCTTTCTGGAAACTGCCTCACTCTCTACCTATGAAGCTCTAACCACTCTTCCCTCTTACCCAGATACACTCCCTTCACACACTCACTCAGGAGCTTGATATAGAGGACTAAGGGAACAAATAAAAGCTGCTCTCAATGTCAGAAAATCTTCCTTGTGAAGTGACAAGTGGGGATCTTAGCAGCACCCAGGTACATGTCCCCTCACCCCATGAGTGACCTGTCCCAAACCGAATTCCAACTACAATCATTTTGCCCAAGTAGATCCCTGTCCACCTTCATTAAGAAATTCAGAGGACTGCGGGCTGTGGTGGCCCATGACTTTAATCCCAGTACTCGGGAGGCAGAGGCAGGAGGATCTCTGTGAGTTCAAGGCCAGCCTGGTCTACATAGTGAGTTCCAGACCAGCTGGGGCTACAGGGAGACCCTGTCTCAAAAACACCAAAAAAAAAAAAAAAAAAAAAAAAGAAGAAAGAAATTCAGAGGGCTGACATTTATATTCTTTTTATGAGCTGTATATACATACAAAGAGGTTCCATAGCTAGACTTTAGCTGGTACCTGGACTGATGAGGCCTGTATCCACCACCCTGATAACAAGGACAGGCTCCTTTGAAGTATTTGATTGGAAACCCAAATGATCATATGAGAATCCCCACATGGGAAACATGGGGAGGAACCCTCCTCAGGAAAAGGGTTCCCTCTATCTATGAAGGAAAGAAAAAGGTCACTGTCAACCCCTTTAATAATACCAAGTTATGGAAGGCAACAAAAGAACTTTCTGAGAACACTGATTTCTTTATTTTAACTTAGGACATCAAATCCCCTGGAACTGGAGTTATACAGTTGTGAGATACCATGTAGGTGCTGGGAACTAAACCCAGATCCTCTGCAAGACCAGCCAGTACTCTGAACAGCTAAGCCATCTCTCCAGCCCCAAACCCTGACTGTTTAAATACAGGTTGGCTGAAACCAACCTGTACCACGTGCCAATACACTGACCTGGACCCCAAGAGTTGGAAGGAAAGGGCCAAGACATCCTGGCTATACATTTTATAACCAATGCCTCTCCAGAAATTCAACAGAAGTTTTCAAAATCAGAACAAGGATCCCAGACTCCTTTTCCCACACTGCACGGCCTTCAAGGTTTTTAAAATTAAAAGGCCTCAAAAGCCAGAAGGGTCAAACCAGGAGATGAAAGTGATTGCTGTAGCAATTTCCCATTCCCTGACCATTTCAGAAAACCCATGTTCCATCTAAATGCCACTCAGTCTAAGGGAATTAACTCATCTTTGGAACAAACCATTCTAAATTATACTTGTGGCCAAAATACAGTATTTCAGCCATGAGTGTACAAAGCAACCTAGTGATAAGCCTCCTATGGAACGATGTCTAAATTACAAACAAGAGGGCCACTAGAATCATAACTCTCTCCCTTATCAGGGACCATCCTGTATCCAAAATTATCATGCTCAGCTCAAACATGAAAACTCCATCGGTCCTAATCCTTACACCTGAGGAAGAAATGTACTCTGACACCTCCTGGCTCACACTTTTAGAGTTAAGGATGTTTTCTTTTTGCACTCCCATTTAGACGAAGATTCTCAGTTCTTACTTGCCTTTGAATGGCAAGACCACCTGACCCAAGTTACTCAAGAATTCACTTGGATGAGGTAACTTGGGGCATGAACCATACTTCTTTACCCTACAAAAGAGAAACCTTTCTTCCTTTAAGGAGCAAGGTCCATATAGGAGCAGCCTCCCTTAGTACATAGATGATTTATCATCTCTAACACAGACATGCCCAGCTCATCTCAGAACATTTCTAACTCATCAGGGTCTCATGTATGTATAAGGTTTTCCCTTTAAGGTCACACATCTCTCTAACAAATGATTCAGTTCCTAAGACTTACATTGGCAGCAGGCACAAAGTTTTCCCAGACATGGCAGGGGTCTCATTCTAACTATAGAGTCTCCAGCCACAAAGCAACTAAGAACTATCTTGGGTATGTCAGGTTTTTGAGCATTCCCCACACTATAGTTCAAGTCCTCCATGAGGTTCAAAGAGAACCAGAACACTAGATTTCTCCCCTAAGGTATCATGGTCCCTGACCTCCTGGCAGTCATTTCCACCCCAACGTTAATACTTTCTGACCATCCTTAACCCAAACCCCAGGGCCCTTTCAGCATCCAGCTGCTAACCTTCCATGCCATTAGGCTGGGAAGGGGGTGACATGGGGGCTCATTTTCTCAAGGTACTAGCAGCTGTGGGAGCAACAACTTGGGGAGGCCTCCAAATTAACCCAGGGCAGAGTATGATGCCTTCCATGCTCCATTTGGGTGCTTCAAATTCTCAACTCCAAGCCTTTGGCTGGGTCACAAAGATAACAGAACCAACAAATACAGATTCTTCTCCCACAAACTTAATATAAAACCTTATCAAACTTTAAATCCTACTATCTTACAGACTCCAACCTTCAGGTGCCTCTAAAATGTTTCTGTATGGAGACAACTGATCTTACCTACAGTGCTAGAACAGAACTAGAAGATTCCCCATTTTCCTAACCTGGGGTTACCTAATTCCCAGACAGTAGCAGTTTTGTGGTGGCAGGACAGATTTTGAAGGCATGCAATGGTGGGTCTCAGAGTGATGTGGGCCCCTTCCATGCAATTGCGTGACAAGCATCCCCGCCCCCGACCCCCAACACACCCCCAAAGCACTATTAACAGCCCTCACTAGGACATTCCTGCTGGGAGCAGGAATGAGACTTAACATCTTCACAGATGGGTCTATGCTTTCCATGTGACCCATTACCCATCCAGCCATCCAGAAAGAAAGAGGCCTCCTCACTACCTATATTACACAATTAAACATGCACCTCAGACTTTCGGCCTGCTAGAAGCTTCTTTCAATCCAGGTGGCCATTATGTATTGCAAGGACCATCAAAAAAAGACCACTCTAACATTTGTTGGGATAACAATCAACAGGCTAAACGGATCACCTTCCATGCCAGGCTAATTTCCCAATCTCATTCTCTCACATCTATAATATACCCCCCAAACAGAATGGGCATCAAATCAGGGTTTCACAGACATGCCAGAGGAATGACTACAAAGCCCAGAGTCTGTTATTGCTCCCTAGATCTTCCCAATGGAAGATCCTTAATTATCATCAAGCCACAAGATAGAGTTAGGGGCCAAAGTCACGCAAATTCTAAACGGGCATCTCTTCATAGGATTCCCCCAAATTTTACAGTCAATTTATAATGCCTGTCCTACCTGTTTTCAGGGCTCTTAATTGCTGAGCCATCTCTCCAGCTCCCAATTTTGTGTTTAATTTTGATCTAAGGAATTTTAATAACCGTATTGTAAATGTAAAACATGGGTTTTTTGGCAGCACGGTTTACCACAAACTTTAACCTCCTCATTGTGTCCTAACTTCTTTCCTTTTCAATTTTGGAAACATCCTTCTTTTATTTATTTATTTACTTATTTTATTTATTTATTTTTTGTCTTTTTTGAGACAGGGTCTCCCTGTAGTCCCAGCTGTACTAGAACTCACTACGTAGACCAGGCTGGTCTCAAACTCAGAGATTCACCTACCTCTGCCTCCCAAGTGCTGGGATGAAAGGCATGCACCACCACACCCAGCTTTTTAAAAAAAAATTTTATTATTTTTTTATTATTTTATGCGTGTGACTGTATTGCCTGCATGAATGTAAGTGCACTCATACTCTGCAGTGCCCATGGAGAACAGAAGAAGGGCATCAGATGTCCTGGAACTGGAGTTACAGACAGTTGTTAGCCACTATGTGGATGCTGGGGTTCGAACCCCAGTCTTATGCAACTCTTAACTGCTGAGTCATCTCACCAGTTCCAAGGAAAAATCCTTTTAATTTAGGACAAAAACAAAAAAAATTTTTTTTTGGTCTTTTTGAGACAGGGTCTCCCTGTAGCCCAAGCTGCCCTGGAACTCACTATGTAGGCCAGGCTGGGCTTGAGCTCACAGAGATCCGCCTGCCTCTGCCTCCCAAGTGCCGGGACTATAGGCATGTGCCACCACACCCCACAGGACAAAAATTTTTACTGACCAAATAAATATCCTTCTTAATAACATGAGACAAAGCAACACAGTAACTTTACCAACTTAATAAAAAGTTGAACCCAAATTACATTTATGATATAGTCTAACAACCTAAAATAACCTGTCATATGTTGTTAAACTATAAGGTTCTTGTCTGTTGTAGGCCTTAGGCAGGCATTCTGCTTGGATTTTTAGACAATCTCTTTCCACATTTTTTAAGTCTTACAACAATCTTGAGAGTTACAGAATGTCACATTCTAGCAAGAGCTGGCCAAGATAACAGGTAACTTAGCAGGAAAATGGAGGGACCGGCTCTGGGCATTTGTGGATTTAGAAAATGAACTATAACCTATCTGAAAAAACAGTAATAATAAAATTCCTATGATATTTCATCATGATGTATTTTTCAGAAATCTACTTATATAACATTGTATTTATTATATGTATCACAAGAATATTGTCTGTTATAAATATAAATATTGAATCTAAAAATTAAGAAACACAGATTAAGTCCAATACTGTGTTCTCATGAATGCTACTCATTTTAAAGTTTTTTGTGTGTGTGTTTGTGTATGAGTGCTTTTGCCTGCATGTATGTAAGTGTACCCATGACATGCAATGCCCATGGAGGACAGAAGAGTGTTCCCCTGGAACTGTAATTATGGACAGTTGTTAGCTACCATGTGGGTACTGGGAACCAAACCTGGGTCTTCCACAAGAGCAGCCAGTGCTCTTAACCACTGAAGCCATCTTTCTAGCCCCTGGTTTTATCTTGATAATTTTATGATTTATATGTTAAAATAGCTAATCCCATAACATTACTCATAAAATGTATTAGCTGTTAGCAGTGAACTAATAGAGTGACTTTATTTTTCCAATAGTAAAAATAGTCACCTCATTGATTAAAAAAACATATGGGCAAAGGGCAGAAACTATGCGAAACTGTCTCTATATATGTAGGTCAGACCTTAAATTTGTGTTAGTCTTCCAAACTTACATTTCAGTTTGCCTAGCAAAAAGCAGTTTAGAAATTAAGTACATTTTAACACTGTAAATCATCCTTTAAATGAAAGACGTGAGCCAGCCAGATGGTTCAGCAAGTGAAGGCACTTACTGCCAACTCTGATAACCTAAGTTTAAACCCCAGGACCCACAAGGCAGAAGAAGTGACTCCAGCAGATGTACTTTGACCTCCATATACATGTTGTGGCATGCACACCATCCACAAACACACAGTAAGTCAATTTAATTTGTTTGGCATGTTTTAAAAATTAACATTTGAAATGCCAGATCCAAACCATTCCACAAGGAAATTCAAAATTAACATTTAACATCTACGACTTTATTAGGCCTGAATAAGACAAAGTTTTGTGCAAGTTTTTCTTCAGCCTCAAATTAAAAATTTTTTTTTTCCTTGAGACAGACTCTCTGTAGTCCTGGCTGGTCCGGAACTAAGAATGTAGATTGGGCTAACCTCAAACTCACAGAGATCCACCTATCTCTGCCTCCCAAGTGCTGGGATTAAAGGTGTGCACCACCAAGATTGGTTTACTCTAAAATGTATTTTTTAGGCCTGGCGCTGAGCACCCAGAGTAACTAGGTTTTTATTATTATTATTATTATTATTACATTTTGATTGATTGATTACATTTTTTTTTTATGTGTATGAGTGTATTGCCTGCATGTAAGTGCACCCAGGTTGTGCAATGCCCAGAGGTCAGAAGAGGGTGTCAGATACCCTGCCATTACATACGGTTGTTAGCTGCCAGGTGGTGGGTGCTGGGATTCAAACCCCATCTTCATTGCTCTTAACTGCTGAGCCATCTCCCCAACCCCAAGTAACTAATTTTTCAAGAGGCAGTAGCCAAGGACAGGAAGAGTCCAGGCAGACAGGCATAGCCCTATATATTAATGTCATTCAAACATCATTCTAAAAATGTTTATACAGAGACATACAATAGTAATGTCAGTGAGCAACAATAGCCGGGCATGGTGGCGCACGCCTTTAATCCCAGCACTTGGGAGGCAGAGGCAGGCGGATCTCTGAGTTCGAGGCCAGCCTGGTCCACATAGCAAGTTCCAGGTCAGCTGGGGCTACAGGGAGACCCTGTCTCAAAAAGGTCAAAAAGACCAAAAAAAAAAAAGCAGTCAAAAGCTTGTAATTTTCAGGAACTTTAGCAGCAGACTGAGTTTTGTGCTACCCTGTTTTTAACACAAAATGACATATAAAGTGCACTTACATAGTGCTGAGAAGGGTGTATGAAGGAGGGATGGAAAGAGGATGATTAACAGGTAAGAGTGAGGATCTGGAGAGATGGCAGTTAAGAGTGCATACTGCTCTTGCAGAGGACCTGAGTTCGGTTCTCAGCATCCACACTTCAGATGGCTCCTAACCATCTGTAACTCCAGCTCCAAGGGTAACTGACACCATCCTTTGGGAACCTGTACTCACCTGCACATATGCTTATAGAGACATAAACAGATAATTAAAATAAGTCGTTTTTAAGAGAGAAGGAGGGGCTGGAGAGATGGCTCAGCGGTTAAGAATACTGGCTGTTCTTGCAGAAGACCCAGGTTCAAATCCCAGCACCCACATGGCAGCTAACAACGGTCCGTAACTCCAGTTCCAGGAGATCCAACAGCCTCTTCTGTTCTCTGTGGGCACTGCACGACATGGGTGCACTTACCTACATGCAGGCAATACACACATACACATAAAATAAAAATAATATTAAAAAAGGGAAGGAGGCTGGAGATGACTCAGTGGTTAAGAGCACATACTGCTCTTGCAGACGACCTAAGTTTGATTCCCAGCACCCACACTGGATGGCTTACAACCACCCATTACTCCACCACCAGAAGAGGAATCCAATGTCCTCTTCTGGACACCTGGCACACACACAGATATACACTCATACACATAATTGTAAAAGTAAAAATAAATAAAATCTTGAAAACAAGAAATAGTAAAGGAACACAGTAACAACAATAACTTAGAGCTTGACTAACAATGATTACTTCTATCACTGCAACATCCTGAGTAGAAAAGACTCAGAATGTTTCCAACACAGATGGTAAAAGTCTGCTGTGACAGAGATGCCCATTAATCAACTCATTACACATTGTACACATGTGCTGAAACGTTACAGCTAGGACTGGTACAAAGTGCTGGTCTGTGGCAGCTTTTCTATCCCCTGGCATCTGACAGCAATGAGCAGTGGCATCAGGCAGGGGAAGCAGCAGCTCAGAGCTTGAGTTTTCTCTGCTTCGGACTCCTTCCCCAGAGAAAGTCTTATGTGACCCCCCCCCAACCAGGTATACAGGAATATAAAATGAGTAAAAAGACCCAACATTTACTGATAATAAATACTAAAGAAATCTATTGAAAACAATTCTTGGCAAAAATACAATTTAACCAAACCAAACTTACATATTACTGAGATGGATGTGGTTGCTTATTTTTACAAAAAGAATTAAATCTTGACTGAAGATCTGATGCTGCAGGATGTAGAGGGGGAAAAAAACATTTTTCAGTGTTGATCAGCATTTTCATTTTACAATTGTCAAATCTGAGTATACTCTTCTCAATACACAGTACAAAATGGCAGAAGTATATTTAAAGCCACTACAGAAATAGTTGGAAATTCTTTCCTAATCTCAAGACCCACCCTCCTAAAAAAAAAAAAAAAAAAAAATTAGAACTGCCATCAAAACCATCTACACCTTCTTCAGTGGTTGTAGAGCCATTTCCTGAGTTGAAACATTTCCCCCAGGAGGGACAAGTCAAGAAATTTTTGAAACTAACAAAATTCACAAGGCCCCTTCACAAAGGCCCTTCCCCAAGGTTATGGGAGCAATTAACAACTACTGACTCAGGTCATGCAGAGAGTACAGCTTCCCAGAGTCATCCAGGCTGGGTGAGCTCTTTGGTGATACAGCTGTCTTTGAGTCGGCCCTGCTCCTGTAAGTAATCCCTCACTCATAAGCCATTAAGTAACCCCAATGAACTCATTGCCAAGCTGAGACTTCAGTAGAACCCTTACTTTGGTCTGCCACTGGTTCCCTACCTGGGGTGAATTAACACTTGTTCACATTGTAGGAAAAAAAAAAAAAACTCACACAACATGGGTAGATACCTAAAGGACTTTAAACCCTACCACAGAGATACTTTCATGTTCATGTTTACTGCAGCACTATTCACTTACAGCCAAGAATGGAACCAGCTTAGATATTAACACATGAATAAAGATAATGTAGTACATATACACAGTGGAATTATATTTGGCCCATTATTCTGTGTGCTAACTTTTAAAACTAATTTAAAAATAACTATAAAGAGCTGGGCGTGGTGGTGCACACCTGTAATCCCAGCACTTGGGAGGCAGAGGCAGGCAGATCTCTGTGAGTTCAAGGCCAGCCTGGTCTACATAGTGAGTTCCAGGACACCTGGGGCTACAGGGAGACCCTGTCTCAAAAAGACCAAAAATAATAATAATAATAACAATAATAATAATAATAATAATAACAACTAAAAGAAAAGCCATTTGGGACTGGAGGTGTAACTAACTCAGTGGCAGAGTACTTACAAAGTCCTGAGTTGGATCTCTACCACTGAAAAATTTTATTTTATTAGTTTTGGTCTTTTTGAGACAGGATCTTCCTGTAGCCCCAGCTGGCCTAGAACTCCCTATGTAGACCAGCCTGACCTCAGTCTCACAGAGATTTACCTGCCTCTGCCTCCCGAGTGCTGGAATTAAAGGCATTTGCCACCACAAAATGCCTAAAAAACAATAAATAAATAAATAAATAAGTAAATAAGTGCAGAGCATGAGGACTCAAGCCTGGAACCCCAGACTGCCATGAGCTGGAAGAAAGCCCAGGCTACATGGTGAGTTCCTCGCCAGTCTTGCCGACACTGCAAAACCCTATCTCAAAAAAAGGGGGTGGCAGAAATACCAACACACTTGTATTACTAACTGATGGAACAAGTATTTAGGAAAATCAGTCATAGCAGCTTAATTTATAAACATCAATGTTCAAACCTATATGGTGGCACATGCCTTTAGTCCAAGTAATAGGGAGACAGAGAGCTCTGTTGAGATTGAGGCCAGCCTGATCTACAGCTAGTTCCAGGCCAGCTGTGGCTATAGGGAGACCAACCATGCCTCAAAAAAGACCAAATAAATAAATAAATAAATAAATAAGTAAGAAAGAATCAGCATTCAACTAGATTTAGCAAAGTATACATTCTTTTCAAGATCAAGTGTAGTATTCAAGATAAGGTACTTGATGAGTCATAAACATACATGATCACTAAACATGCAAAGGTATGCTTTAAGAACATACTATAGGGGCTGGCAAGATGGCTCAGTGGTTAAGAGTGCTTACTGCTCTAGTACAGGACCTGAGTTCAGTTCCCAGTACCCACACTGGGTAGCTCACAACTGCTTCTAACTCCAGTCTTGGGGAATCTGAGGCCTATGGATTTAGGCAGACATACCCACACAAATACACATAATTTTTAAAATAAAATAAATCGTAAAAAAAAAGATTTGGGAACTGGAGATGGCTACATACTGAGACCCTACCTCAGGACAAAAAGGAAAAGAAAACCAAAAAACACTTGGACAATCTTCAAATAATTGGAGATTAAATCTAAATTTTAAGTGATACGTGGATAAGGAGATATCTCAAGAGGAATCTAAATATTTCAAAAGAATTGAAAGTACATCCTGTAAAAATTCGTGCCACAAAGCACAAGCAGTGTTGGGGGTAAAATTAAAGCAATAAATTCACATACTACAAAAGAGAGATGAAGAAAATAAATCATTTAACCTTCCATATTAGGAAGCTGGAAAAAGAAGAAATAAACCAAGCACAGGAAAATAACAATGAGGAAATAAAACTGTGAGCAGGAAATCCAGACAATCAACCACTCTAAATTTTGACTCTTCAAAAATATCAATAAAATTACTAAGCTATTTATAGCTGAGACAGAGAGAGAACAAAAATTAATGATTAAAATTAAAGAGGATCATTCACAGCCATACCACCCTGAACGTGCCTGATCTTGTCTCATCTCAGAAGCTAGGCAGGGTTGGGCTTGGTTAGTACTTGGATGGGAGACTCAACAGGGCCATCATTATCACAGACGTTAAGAGAACCATAAAGGGATATGACAGAGCAATTCCATCATCACAAATTTAGTAACTTAGATGAAATAAAACAATCTACCAAGAGACACACAGAGAGATGACCGGTATGAATAGGCCTATCTGTATGAAAGTAATGGAATCAGTAACTAATAACTACCCAAAAGGGGCAGACAAGACCCTTATAATTGTTCACTCATAAATTCTTCCAGACATGGCAGCAAACCTATACAATGTTTTCTAGTGTCGTCTAGAAAAGCAAACGCTTCCTGGTTCAAACTCTGAGGTTAACAGTATGTAACACCAAAGCAATATAGAATACAGAAAAACTAAAGAATGAAAAAACAAAATTTCTCAACATTAGCCAACTGAATTGTAAAGGTTTTATTTTTAAAATAATGTAAGAAAACCTGAATGTGGTGGCACACACATGTAATCCTCAGCATTTGGTAGCTGAGGCTGAAGGACTACACGTTCAAAACCAGCCTGGGCAGAAGAGTGAGAGCCTGTTCAAAAACAAACAAGAAAGCATAGATCACAATCAAGCTGGAATTGATGCAGATATACAAGGCTATTCAGGCTGTGAACGAAGATCAATGGGTGAACTCATGCTGAGCATTATGCTGAGACCTGGGTTTAAACAACACCGACAAAAAAGAAAAAATTCAAAAATCAATGGAATTCACCATATCACCAAGTGAAACAGCAAAATCACTCCATCATACTAATTCCAAAAAAGCAAAAAATGGGGAAAGGGGAGCTATTCAGATTAAGAAAACAAATTGTGGCTATAGAAAAATCCCAAGAACCAACAAAAACTCAAGAACTAAAGATATTAGAGCAAACTTGTAGAATTACAGGATTAATATACAAAAGACCACAATTTTCCTGTACGTCTGTAAATGAAGATTTGGATGTGAAATTCAAAACACCATACAGCTTAAATAGCACCAAAGATTAAGGAAACAAAAAGAAGTACATATAAAAAGGACAATAGACAAAAGCTACAAAATTCTAATAAAAAATAATTTAATGGACAGTCCATGATCTCAGATAGTAAGCGTCAAAGCTACCATTACAGTTCTCATTTTGAACTATGGATCCAACACATCCCGATACAAACTCGCACAATTTATGCTAAGGTTAACAGAAATTTTATTCTAAACAGCATATGGAAGACATTCAGAATGGCCAACACAAAAGGTAGCGACGTAGCATGGCTGGTAGGGTGCTTGACTACTACAAAGTCTGGGTTCCTTCCCCGGAACAAAACAACAAAAAACAGGCCCGGTGGCACACACACTTAATACCAACACTCTGGAGGTGGGTTTAGGTAGCAGGATCATAAATTCAATACCATCCTCGGCTAATAGAGAGCTCGAGACCAACCTGGGATTCACGAGATGCTGTCTCAAGAAAGGGAAAGAAAAGATAAAAGGCCATCACAAAACTGAAACATTAACACACACACGCTGACACGACACGGCTTTAAGACTCCCAATCAAGGTAGTGCACTGTTTCACAAGCAATAAATAAGCAGAATAAACCCCACAAAATACAGTAATTGATTTCTGACAAAGCATCAAAGGAAACACGCAAAATACGGGACAGACTTTAAAACTTTCACGTAATTAACTCAGCAAATCCAAAACCTAAGTATGAACTGCGACGTTCAGAACTTGTAGACCGAAACCAGACCACCCTCCCCGGCCACAGCAAACCTGCAGATGCTCACGACACTGTGGCACCACGACCATCCCTCAGTGCGGGGCGGGGCGGCCGTTTCTCCCCTGCGCAGGCGCAGATGCGGCCGAGGGGCGGAGCTGACCATAGGCCCCAAGGCCAAGACCCTGGTGGCCGCACCGACCGCGCAGGACGCCCGGCCCGACCCCCGCCCCGCCCGCCCGGGAAGGAACAGTACAGCCCGCTCTGGCGGCTCCAGCGGTCGCTACTCCCGTCTGCACACAGCCGGCCCCACGCTCACCATGGCGCTTCCGGGTTCGCCCGCGCTCCCCTGAGCTCCCCGGAGCGGCACCCAACCACGGCACAAGCAGAACATCTCTCCTCCGGGGCCTGAACCTACAACATGGCGGCCGGAGAGCCCGCCTCCAGCCGCCCGTTGGCGCTCCTGATTGGACGGCCCGGAAGGAGGCCCTGATTGGTTAGCGAGGCCTGAGTGACAGTAGTAACTCCTAAGGGAGGAAGTGGACATACATTCCAGCCCTGGCCGCTAGCCCCAGGCACATAGATCTGGCCCACCCACGCCAAGGGAATTTGAATTTAAGCAAACCTACCCCTGGTCTCCCAGAGCCGGCACTGTTGGAGCTCAGTCAGCGCTTCTGCCTTTCCTCCCGAGTACAGGGTGTAGTGTGCACAGCCCATTACACAGTAGCCAACGGCACTGGCCTCACAGATAGAAGGGCGCCCAGCCCACCCCAGGTCAAATTGAAACTGGACGTGATGTGCTCCAGAGATCAGGAATTTCAGTAAGCACACCAAGGATCATGCAGAATTTAACCCCCAGGCTGCACATTTTAGGCCAAAAAGACAGAAAAACAAAAAACAGCAACAGATACCAAATTTGGTATGGTAGGCCAATCCTGCGATTCCAGCAGGTAGAGTCAGGAGGATCAATTCAAGGCCAGCCTGGGTTACATGCGACCCTGTCAATAAGCAGGTAAATAAATAAATAACATGCAGCTGGGGGGGGGGTGTGGCACTCGCCTTTAATCCCAGCACTGTGGGCACAGGCAGGTGGACCTCTATGAGATAGAGGCCTACCTGATTTACATATGGAGTTCTAGGACAGCTGGGGTTACCAGGAGATCCTATCTCAAAACAAAACAAAAATAATAAATAACATGCTAAAAGAAAAATTATTAATGGAAAAAAATGTTTAGAGCCAGTTATGGTGGTACAAGCCTTTGATCCCAGCACTGGGGAGGCAGAGGCAGAGCTATGTGAGTTCCAGGCCAGTCTGTTCTATATAGTGAGTTCCAGGCCAGTTGGGGCTACAGAGAGACCCTGTCTAAGTTGACTTTTTTTTTTGAGATTTTAATTTTTATGTGTCTATGTGTGCACATGCACATGCAGGTGCCACAGAGGCAGGAAGAGGGCATCAGATCCCCTAGAGCTACATTTGCATGTGGCTGTAAGCTGCTGAATTTGAGTGCTGGAAACCAAATGGGGTCTCTGAAAGAGCAGCAAGCACTTTTAACTGCTGAGTCACTTCTCCAACCCCCTAAAGTTCATTTTCTAAAACAAAGTAGATAAATGCTTACCTGTATTGGCTTTTACAAGGAGAGAAGACTCAAATTGCTAAATTCAGAAATGAATGTATGCCTAGATGTGATGATTCAGTCCTGCACTCCAGCACTTGAGAGGCTAAGGCAGGAATATTTTAAGTTCAAGGCCTGGCAGTTCCTGAGCAACTTAGTGAGACCTTGTCTCAAAGTAAAAAGCTTTAGAACTGGAGTGGTGGCTCCATAGTCAAGAGCACTGGCTGCTCTTGCAAAGGACCCAGGTTCAGTTGCCAGCACTCACATGGCAGCTAACAACCATCCATAACTCCAAGGGGATCCAGCGCCTTCTTGTGGCCTCCATGGGCACTGCATGCACGTGGTGCACTTAGGTACATGCCTACAAAAACACTCATACACATAAAATAAACATAAATGTTTCTAAATTTTTTAAAAAAATAAAAGGCTCAGAGGAGAGCTGGTGAGATGACTCAGAGGTTAAGAGTGCTGGCTGCTCTTGCAGAAAACCCAAGTGCAATTCCCAGCACCCACATGGTAGCTACCAACTGTCCAGTAACTCTTGTTCCAGGGGATCCAACACTCTCTTCTGACCTTCCTGGGCATTGCATGACACAGGTGCACCTGCACACATGCAAGTAATACACTCATACACATAAAACAAAAATTTTATACATATATA